GAGAGAATTCTCTTAATTTTACATAATATTTTTTAGCTACACATGCTTAATGCTAATCTTATGCTACGTTAATTAAAAATCGTCCACGTCTGGCAAGAGAAAAATAAAGGGAAAAGGGGAGAGAGTAAGTCGCGCGGGATTTTCTCTCCCCTTTTATTAAATATTATTTTTTCTGTCGCAAGACGCAAAGCTTTTTTCGAAAGCGTTAATCGAATTATAAAAACCAATTAACATATTATGAAATTAAATAATTAAATTAAAGTTTTATGTTTAACATCGAGTTTTGCTGTTTGATGGATATAATAAAAGTTTTCGGAATATTTAATTTTATATTTAAATATGTATTTATTTAATTTTTAAAAATAAATTTGGAATCACATGATTTTTAATATAATTTATTTATTTTTGAATTAAAAAATAATTGTTAAAACTTTGAATAATAATTTGAAAAATTATTAGGTTCAATTTCGTGACAAAGTTGATTGTTGGAGTTGAAAATATAAAATATGCAAATAAAAGCTTTTTGAAAAAAACCACCTTTCTAACCAAAAATACAATTTTCAAATTTAAAAAAAACATTTTTATACATTTCAAAAACATTTCACAATTGAGCATTTTACAAAATCATTCAAAATAATTCCAAAACTTGATCTCTTTTGACATCTTTTCCATCGTTATTAACTTTTTAACACTTAACATCGAACCGCTATAGTTCCAGGTTTTGTTAAATGAGTGGGCTTTCATCACCCGCATTTAAATAAAAGTCCAAAACAAAGACCTATTGTGGGAAAAGCTCAATTTTATTACTTTTGTACTTTAAATTCTCATGACATTTAAATTATAAAAATATTTTTTTGTAATAATTTTAAAAATAATTTTCTTACCTTTTTTACTTTTAGATCCATTCACCAAAACAATTTAACCAAATATAATTTTAAGAAAATAAAATTATTTATTTATTTATTTATAAAAGTCAAAAACAACAGCACCCAAACTTAATTAAAAATTAATTTTTTATTAGTACATTTTACAGTAATTTTTTTATATAATAGAATTTAATTATTATATGTACATATTTACAGAAGAATTTAATTAATTACAGATTTATTAATATATTTAAATTAAATAAACGAACTAAATTTGTGCAAATAAATTATTTAAAATTTAATTTATTTTTAATTAAATTTATTTAATTTAATTTATTTAATTTATTTAATTTATTTAATTTATTTAATTTATTTAATTTAAATTTATTTAATTAAAAATTCTAGATTTAGGAAATTTAACAAGGAAGTTCAAAATTTAATTTAATTTTTAGGAGAAAATTATTCCAAAATCGTTCCAAGGCAAAATCGTTTTATTTTCTAAAAACAAACAAAATTTAAATATTAAAATAATAATAATATAAAAAATATTTTATAAAAAAAACTTAATTATTTAATTATTTTTTATTTGATCTTAACTAACGAAAAATAATAATTTACCCAAATAATTAATTATACCTATGTACTATGTACTAAAATTTAGTAATTACCATGTCTAGTTATTAATTAAAATTTTTATAAATAATTTATAAAAAGTTTTAGAAAATGTCAGGTATCTACTATATTGACAGGTGAAAATGCTCTTTTACGCTTTTTTCAGAAAATTTTTCGTTTTAGCGTAATTATTATATAAATAAAATATGAAGGTTTATTAAATATTATTCGTAATAAAAGAAAATAAAATTAATTTAGTGCCAGATTAATAGGGACATTAAAAATGTCAAGTAAAATTGACTTAACCAAATAATCCACCGTCTAAAGATATTTGAAAATATTAGAATAATTATTTGTTGACTCTAAATTAATTAAGTAAATGTGTTTTTTGGTAATATTTTAAAAGTTTTATTAAAAATATCTCCAAACAAAATAAAAATTCCGTCCAAAAATTCTAGATTTAGAGAATATACACGAAAGATTCTAATATAAATCTCCAGAAGCTTTTTAATAAAAAAAGGCCTAGGAAGTTTTATTCAATTTTATCTTTAAGTATAAATCTCCTGGAAGCCTTAATATACAGTTAAGAATCTAAAAAAGAAATTCATATAACAAAAGAAAAAACAACATTATTGTTTTTTTAGATTTTGAGGAATTAAAAAGGAATGTTTTAAATTAAATTTTAAAAATAATTTATTTAATTTAATCATTAAATAAATAAATTGATTTAATTTGATTTAAATTCTCTCTCGTTTATGTCTTTCAACCTTAGCTTTTTCTTGTTACTTGTAAAATAAATAATTGGATTTTTCCTAAAATTTAATAAGGAAAATTTCCAAATTATCTAATTAAAATTAAATTTTAAAATTTTATTTAGTCTAAATAGAAATATTCAGACTTATTTTTAAAATAATGTCACCAGCATCTTCTCAACGACCCTTGTATGCGCTATGGGACGAGTCTATAATATTAAACACTATTCGCTATTTGGGAAGTTTTGTTGGACTTTTCTCAAATTTTTTTCTGATTTTTCTTGTTTTTTATGTAATATTTCAATTATTTTTTAATATTTTTAAAATTATTTTTAGAGCAAAACTTTGAGGAAAAGTCAATATACTTGGTATATGATGCTATTGACTTTTGCTGATATTCTTATTGGTAAGACTTTGGGTTATAAAATAATAATTTTTCTAAAAATAATTTAAAGCTTTCGGACATTTCATTAGAACAACATATATAATAAATGCATCTTCTAAAGGAATTTTGCTATATTCTCGGCTAATTTGTGTTTGGGTAAATATTTTAGAAAAATATGTAAATGTTTTTTAAAAATGATTAAAATTTTTATTATCTTGAATTTTTTTTATTAAAAGAGGAAATATATTCAGATCTTATTAATTAAAAGTAACTCGATTCCGTTTTACAAAAAAAATTTTCCCAAATTTTTTAGTTATTTAATTAATTTATTCCTTTATTTAAAGATTTAAAATAAGTATCATGTTAAGATAAATACACCGATGGGTATGGGCTTTACGGCTACAAGAATTGCTGTCTTAGCCATTGCTGCAGACCGATGCTATATGGTAATTAATCCTCTCAACTATAAATGGAAAGCTAATGCGGTAATAAATTTTATCAAAAAACTAGTTTTATATTATAAACTAAAATTTGGAAGTCGAGTTTAGTTTAGTGTGAAATTTATCTAGTTGTCTCTCTCAAATAATTACACCCTCTCTATTAATTAACCCGCCAGAGCGAGGTTGAAACAATAAGTACCCTGGATGATTATGTTAGCATACACGACGATAGTATCGCCAAAAAATCATTAAATTATTTTTAGAAACTAATCTTGATTGTTTTCACAATTCAAATAATTTCGATCGCTGCTGATACCTTTACAAAAGTTTATGGCGGTGATAATGAAACACCAATAACAATGTGTTCTATGGGTGCGGCATCTGCTCCAATGTCCAGCTGGTTTGGACAATTTTATTCAAATAGCTGTTTGGCCCTCTTATTTTGTGAGATTTTTAAATTTTTAAATTTATAATTAATTTACGGCACCCCTCTTACCTTAGAAAGAATTTCTAACGAAAGCAAATTTTAATTATAGTCGACTTTAACTAAATTTCGTGAAGACTGCAAGGGAATATACTAATTAAATTCCGCTGGAAGGAAGGCGTCATAGCTTAAGTTGTCTGTACTTATATTATCTCATAAATTTTTAATCTATAAAACCTACCTAATTTCCTTAAACAGAAAATTTTTGACTTTAAACTGTTTAACAAAAATTTTTAAAGTAATCTACATTCCATTTCTGATTTTATATCGAAAAAGGAATTCTTCCCAAGACACAACAAGTACATCCAATCATTGGAGAAGACAATTAGAAGTAACAGTAACAACAATTTGGATATTATTTCTATATGGATTTTTGTGGGGTGGATCTTTTGGGGCTCTTTTCTATGCAAATGTGAGCTTTGTTATTATATAACGACATCAGAGCTGTAGTTTATATGTATTTGAAATCAGCGCTATACGCAACTGAAAAAAGTTTACGGAGCCGCCACAATCCGCAATTTTAATTTTAAAATACGCAAACGCAATCCGCAAGTCAAAAAAACACGCAATTTCACGCCAATACGAAATCCGCAATTGAGGACAGCCCTGTTTGAAATCTCTCGATCCCTCTCCATTTTTAAAATTTTATTTTTTAGTTCACAGACAACCCAAAACTCGTTTCTGGTTATATAACCTATATCTTTGGGTTTTTATCAGCAATGTGTTCATCAGCAAGTTTTTTTGTTTATTTAATTAAAAACAAAGAAGTTTTAGCAGAAACAAAAATTATTTTAAATAAATTAAAAGTTTTTATCTTTTGTTTACCAAAAAATAATATTGTAAATATTAAAAGTAACAACAATTCAACCAACAAAATTTCGATAATTAAACCTTTTAATAGTATTGTAATAAATAAAGCTTGAGGGATTTCTAATATAAATTAATTTTAAATGAAAATAAGCTTTGTGATTAATATTTTATTAAATTAAATTGTATATATTTTTTTGTAGATAAAGTGAATTTATTGGGATATAATTAATTTGAAAAAATTTTTAGATCAAAGTCACGCAAAATTTTATTAAATTAAGGAAAAATAATTTGGTAAAATAATTATTGTCTTGGATAAATACATTGGGGAGAAGACAACGTTAGAGTGTCAAATTAAGAGTTTTATTTTAGAAATATACATTTATATCTCCTTAATATGCTCTTATCATTAGTGACGGGAAAGTTCCAGTTCCAGAATCTAAACCGGTCCAGAGAGATTTTGGAACATCCCATTACTGCTTATCATAAACACTTATGTTCATTTCTCTCAAAATTAAGTTTAATCATTCATTTCTCCAGAACATCCATTTCTTCCGTACTTTCCAATATTTTTGTAACCAAAATAATTTATGTGATGACTTGTCTTATAATACCTAAAAATAAATAAAAAATAATTATTTTTCAAAAATATTTTCATTGCCAAAGTGAATTGCTGCAGTTATCATCATCTTCGTCCATATCGTTACAAACAATAAATGTATCTTCCTGCCCATCTTCATCGCCATCCATTCCATTATTGTACCAAATCTAAAAATTCATAAAAATATTTTTTTGATAAATCAAGATTTAATTTTTAGGGATATATTACGATTGTTTTTTATTAACAAGCTTGTCTTGATTGCAAAATAAATACAGTCGAGGACTATATTCACAATCATTTATTTATTTCGCTCAAAAAATCTTTCTTTATTTCGCTCAACTTTCGCTCAGAACGTTTATAAAATATGCACTAAACTCTAAGTTAAAAATTAAGTATTCAAAACAAACAGAAAAAAATGAGGTAGATTTTACAACAATATCAGAAACACTTAACCTTGATAATCCATGTCTCAATAAACTCAAAAAATGAACCTCAGTACTATAATGATGATATCCCTCAAAAAAACGCATTGGTAAATGAACAATTACATCGCGATGATTAACGACACGATAATTATAATAAGGAAGCTGAAAATATTTTTAAATTTTTAAGATTTTTTCCCATAGAATCAAAAATAAAAATTCTACAATTTGATCCATAGCAGCAGCCCAATCCCAATTCCCCGTTCTTGGCTGTCCAAGTGTTAATAATTTTATATTTTGAGCATTAATTAATCCATTAGAAGCAATTTCTGCTGCGGCGAGTGATGCTAGAGCACCACCTAGAGAATGCCCTGTTACCTTTTTTTCATTAAATTATTACAATAAATAGAAGATAATTTAAACCCAAAGTTCGTAATCTGCATAAATTTTGATCAAATTTGCGACACAATTAATTATTCCTTCAGCTTTCAATTGTTTATAAATCTCGGTGAAATAAGTAGCTACCTGAAAATAATTAAATTATTAACTAATTTATAGGTTCACTATCTTCATAGAAATATAGATTTACTTCCAACAGGGCTGGTAAATACTTGAAATTTTTAGAATATCTCATAAAATATACTGACCTTGCCTCCAATATTTACTTCTGTTTGACTTTTACAGGCAATCTCAGAACTTTCAAGCAATAATTGAGTGAATGAATTAGTCCCTCTAAAATATTTTTTAATTAAATTTAATTAATTAATTAAATCTCGTTTTAATATACCCCCAAGTTTATATACCCATCATTATATACAATTTTTTCGCCACGAGAGCTGTATGGCAAAAATAACCGGTTGGATGTATTTTTTATAAATTATTTTATTAGTATTTTAAACTTAAATAAATAATTAAAAATACCGAAATGACAAAATGATTGCTTTATCATCATGAGATAAAGCAACAAATCCTGAACAGATTTGGCTTTCATGTCCGTTACAATATACTTTAGTGACATTTATAAGCTAAATACTTGGAATAATTATAATTTCTATAACTTTTAAACCTCATAATTTATAAATGTTTTGTTAAGACATTTTCGAATATTTTCTTCATTTCCATAGGCTGCTGCTGATACAGGAAAAAATTTGTCTTTTGTTAAATCGCTGTTAAATTGGTATGCTTTTAATTTCACTGATTGTTTGTTGATTTGTGGCTTAAATTAATTCAAATAATTGACATCTCTTCGAATTATTTACTGAAAAAAAGTACCCCCAATGCCGTCAGTCTCGAAGAAATTCGAGCTTAGAGCTATGATAAATAGGAACCCAGTAATCATATGGATATAACAAAAATAAAAGAAAAATTAATTATTGGTTAATTTATATGTATTCATAATTAATAAAGCTGTGATTTATAGGCAAATGCCTTTTTTTCTGCGAGCCTGGCCTGATGTAATACGTTCAAAAAAAGTGTTTTTAGCTTGGTCCGAAGAGTTTAGCATGACTTTTATTTTGCCTATTTCTGCCTTTTTTAGACTTTTTGTGCCTTCTTGCCTATTTTGAAATTTTTGGTACTATTTTTGCCTTTTTTTAGCGATTTTTCCTAAATTTTGCCTAAAAATAAGTGACAAATCTAAAAAATCAGTCCCAATTGAAAAAAAATCAGTGCCAATTCCCATTTTTAATTTTTAGTTCGACAAATTGAGTATTTTTACTCTATTGGAAATTTTGAGATTAGACGTTTTGGTGGCGGGACATTTTGGGGTGGGACGTTTTGTGGGTTGGGCGAGATTAGCTTTTTCTCAATTATCGACATTTTTAAAAAATTACACAATTTTTGTTCAAAAAATTATTTAAAATGACGAATAAATTGCAAAATGGTCAAAAAACGATGAATAAGTGGTTATTTCCTTGTTTTTATCTTAATTTTATAGGCTGATAACCTTTTTTACCTGCCTATTTTTGTGCCTTTTTTGGCTTTTTGGTGCCTATTGTGGAGGGAGAGCTCAGATCTCAGTAAGGTTTTTTCTACCAAGCAAATTTTTTGCCTAAGTTTTTTCCAACCAAAAAAAAGACTTCAATCAATTAATAAATTTTATTTCCAAAAAAAGCACAGCGTCAATACAGCAAAGAACAATTCAAAAGAAGCTAAACCCCAGAATGAAAGCAGCTCAGTACCAAAGCTAGAACAGAATGAAGCACAGAAAGAAGCTAATTGGGGGTTGGAGGGGGAGATTATATAGGCCAGAAAAACAGGCGGGTAGAATTAGAAAATATTTCGATCATTAAAACATAATAGGAGCGATAAAATATAAATGCACATGTTTTGAATAATACAAAAGAGTGGAAAATTAAGTTAAGTTTTTGAACAAAAGAGCTAAAAATGTAAATATGGTTTGAATAGATGTTTACATAAAAAATGGTTTTTTAGAAGGTAAAAGTCCGAAAAAGGAATTTGCAATAAATGATGATTAATTTATAAATTAAAATTCAAAAAATATATTTATTTTTATTTTCCTCATCTTCAGTCGCTTCGCGACACCTATTTTAGGCGCCTATTTCACTGATTTTACTTGCCTAACTATCACAGCTTTAATAATTAACTACATATAATTACTGAATAATTTTCATACTTTTATTTTCCCAATTTTCTTTTCGTTGATTTTGTCAAATTTATTAAATAAAATTTTTGAATTTATTTTTGCATCATCTAACAAAGAAAAGGAAAAATCATCTTCAAAATTATTTTCAAAATGTTCTGAAGATATTTTCGCTGAATAATTTGATGAAATTTTAGAACAATTAATTAAATAAATATTTATAATAATTAAAAAATAAATTAAAAATGTTGACATTTTTTACAAAAAAAAATATTTAAAATAAATTTTCTATTGTTTACAAAAGAATTAAATAATTAATTTGTTATCAGTTAAATGACGGAAATGGCTGAGTAATAATTTTTAAAATAGTTTAGAATTTTTATTGATTTGATAAAATATTTTACTATAAATAATCTTTGATAAGTCTACTCCTACAAAACAAACTTCCTAAAATTAACTCCCAAAAAATTAAGTTATAAATAAACTGTTTGAAACAATATATTGTTTGATATTTTGTAGAGAAACTAACGGAAAATAAAAAAATAATAATTTATTTAAAATTAATTTAAACAAAAATTGTGTAATAAGCTTTAATTACTAAAAAATTAATTTTATAATTTATTTTTTGTTTTAGTTTGTAGATGAGGAAAACATTTTGTTGCGAATCAAATTTTAACGGAAGGAAACAAAATAAAATAGAAACGAATGGCGGAAGTGTTGAAAAATCCGGTAGTCCGGAAACCGGATCTGGCATTTTCCAAATTTTAACTCTATATATTTTATTTATATTTGTCTAGACTATCCATAACATTATAAAAATGATGAAATTTAAACAATATAAAAAATAGATTTCAAAATTATGGCATTTATGTATGTCAAAGTGCACCTACACTTTAATGCGACTGATTATTAAATAAATTTTTAAATAAAATAATTTTTAAAATATTTTTTAATTAAAAAATTAATTAATTATTTAAATGCTTTTTTCCGTTTTGCTAACCAATCTTTTATTAATATTGGCTTTATTTAAGTCAAAAACTTTGGTCAATGGAATGGAACGAGTTCCAGGTATTTTTAATCTACTAAATAAACTTTTAGACTAAATATGTTAAATAATATCTAATCTTTGTTTTTAAAATGATTTTTATTAGAATTACGCCGAGTATCGGCTGGGCTAACTAACATATATTTTTTATCATTAATATTGTAATCATCTAAATAAGAAAAGCTTACAACTGGGAAAAGCTACAGCTTACTTTTTATTTCTTCTATTCCTCGAATAAAATTTTCAGATCACATCAGATCAGGGCACAATAATATTCAAACGTTGAGTAGAACATGCAGTTTTTGCTTAACCGAGCTCTCGTATTTAATTCGAATTTTAAATTCGGTCGAAGAAGAGGATTTGTACACAATAAAAACTATACGACAAATTCTTATTGAAAAGGAAAAAGAATTATTTGGCAATACAATTTTCGAAAATGATATTAATATTTTATATATTGCTTCAAAAATTAATCCTGTGCGTTTAAAGTTTAAATTTGAATTTAACTATAAAATGGACCTAATTAGGAGCACAATCAACTGTGCCACTTTATAAATTTTCGGTCCTGATATTGAAATAAAAAAGATATAATTTACTTAAAAATTGGGTTGCATGGATAATATTTGTTATAATATTTGTTTGTACTATCAGCGAAACATTAAAAAATAAAATTTTATTTTCTTTAAATAAATCATTAAATAATTTATTTAAAGATGATTGAATATTTTGAAAAAATTCTTCTTTGGTTTTCTAATAATTTATCTAAACGTATAAACCATTTTAATCAAACAGAGATACATCAATTTCTTTTAAAAAGATTTGAGGATAATTCAAAAATTTTACAAGAGGAATATGACAAAGAAGAAAATTTAGTTTTATTAGGTATTTCTAGGTAAATAAATTAATTTAATTTTGTAATCTTTTTGAAATCATACTTTGATATTTTATATGAAAAAGATCCGGTCAAAAATTTAAATACTCGATTCATAGAAAAAGTAACATTGGTACAAATTTAAAAAAAATTAAAGATTTACTCAATTTAAAAGTCTTTATTTATCACTTTAGTGATTGATCGACCCGGTCTCGATAACCAAATTTTTGTCCAGACCTCGACTCTTTCCGAAAAAAACTAATAGTTTTAGATTAGCACTATAACAGAAGTTATATTTTCTGTACAAATAGATTTATTTACTTTAATATAAAAATTTTTAAGAAATTATTAATTTGGATAAACTTTATTTAAAAATTTTTTTTTAAATCTAAAAATTTAAGCAACGAAGATATTAAAGATTTTCTACACCTTTATAAAACACCATTCCAGCAAGAAAAAAATTTATTTATTTTTAATCATTTGTTAGGACTTGTCAGAGTTCTTATCAAAAATTTTGTTCATCAAAGTAATTCAAAAATATACATTGAAGTTTTCTCAAACAAAAAGTAAATCTTTAATAAAATATCAAGAAAGTTCTTTTTTACACTTTACAAAAAAATAAATTTATTTTACCAAGTCCTTTAAGGAAATTCTATAAAATTAGGCACTATCTGAAAGGAGGTGCGGGATCATATTTTTTCCTCCTTCCTTACACTAGTCAGTCTACATTTCATTTTTCCTTAATATGAAAAAATGGTGCACTTGACACATGAACGTTGACGTCTAGCTCTTGACACATGAACGTTGACGTCTAGCTCTTGACACTTGAACGTTGACGCCTGGCAATTGACAAATGAACGTTGACGCCTGGCACTTGACACATGAACGTTGACGTCTAGCACTTGACACATGAACGTTGACGCCTGGCACTTGACACATGAACGTTGACGTCTAGCACTTGACACATGAACGTTGACGTCTAGCACTTGACACATGAACGTTGACGTCTAGCACTTGACACATGAACGTTGACGTCTAGCACTTGACACATGAACGTTGACGCCTGGCACTTGACAAATGAACGTTGACGCCTAGCACTTGACAAATGAACGTTGACGCCTAGCACTTGACAAATGAACGTTGACGTCTAGCTCAAGAAGACACAGGACTCCAGCAAAAGTTGACGTAGAAGAGCACAGCAATGTTGAGAAGTTGAAGACTGACCAAAATACCCTGCTTTTATACTATCTTTTTACCCTCACAACCTAATTCAACTGGCAACGCTTTACTATAAAAGCCCCCTTTTCTTCACTCCCCCAAATCATTTTACTATAAAAACCCACTTGTCTATAAAAGGACAAACAGACACACAAACCCTTCTCAATTATATAATTAGATGGTCAGTCTTTACCTCACCCTTAATTTTCCCTGTGGCATATTCAAGTGAGAGACATTAATAAGAAAAGGATTTTTTTTCTCAATGCCATTGTCAGGACGAACAGACAGAAGATGAAATACAAAACAAATTGTAAAAGTCACCGTCTTACCAAATCACGGACCAGATCTTCGGTCAGTTTTTGGCCATTCCGTGTCATGGTCTTTCTGATATTTGGTCGTTCCTTGATTTTGTAAGACGGTGTTTTCTGTTTTGTGTTTCGGTATAGTCCGTGTCTTGTCTCTTTCTTAAGTTAGCCTGACACGATTCAAAAATGATAAAAGATGACCTTTTTTATTTGAATATGCCATAAGGAGTTTGGGTAAAATAAGGAAGGAAGAAAGGCTGACCATTTTTTCATACATATTAAGGAAAAATGAAAGGTAGACTGACTAGTGTAAGGAAGGAGGAAAAAATATGATCCCGCACCTCCTTTCAGATAGAGCCAAAAATTAAATTTAGAGAACAAATATCTATTTTTGAGTATATCAAAGCCTATGACGTATTTGAAGTAAAAGCTAATAAATTAAATAAATTTCTCAATAATTTGAATATATTCAAGGAAGTAGTACATTTTCCAAGCATAGAGGATCGAAACAAATGTAAGTTGGTTTAAGTCCTGTTAATAACAACCCCAAAGTCCTTTAATTGGAAATAAAGACCATTTAGGAGTTATCAATGGATGATAAATAAAAAAAGTTTGATAAAACGTATACTTGTCTTATTTGGGAAATAACTAGAGGAATAAATAAATAAATCAGTCTTCCTTCGAAATTTAACCAAAATAAATTTTATTTATCTTTTTCAGTTTTAAATAATCTAAATGTAAGGAATGCTGAACGTAATTTAGCTTTATTAATATATTTCGATCACAACTTAAACTATGAGAATCGAAGAAATATTGAACGATACATTCCGATTATTTTTACTTTTCAAAGTAATACATATTTTTGGTTAATCTTTAACTTTTAAAATTTTCTACATGATTAAGCGAATTTAAATATAAGGATATTTATTTACAGTTAATTTAAGTCAAAATTTAATAAATAAAAATTAGAAATACTAATTAATTAAAGTAAAAATAAATAAAACAAAATTATTAATAGGGAAATTATTAAATCTTAAAACATTTTTTAATTGTTTCTAACGATTCTAACATTATTTCCTTCACTCAAAAATGTAATGTAAAAAAATTTTTTTAAGAAAACAAAAGGAAAATAATAGACCACAAAAGCCCTTTTTCAATGTGGGCAAATGAAATGAACATAAATACAATGCTTGAAAAAGAAGAAAGTATTCAATTGGCAAACTTCATTGAGAATGCCCCTACAAATTTATACAAATTCTTTTATTCCGAATATCTTTCAAATAATGAAAATATTCGGAATTTGCTACAAGAATATTTTATGAATGGACAATTAATTAATCAACAAATTGGGGATGAATATCACCCTGAACTAGTTGAAATGGTCGAGTATAGAGGAGTGAAAATTCCATCACAAGATAGACAAGTGAATGATTTTTATTTGTAAATAAATAAACAATCTTAATATTGAAGAATTTCAAAAAAGAAGAAAGCCCCTCCCTCTAAACTAACCTCCAATCTAGATTAGCCCACCTCTAAAGGTTGATCGAAAAATAACCTCCATTCGTTATTTTAGATAAAATACGGTATACTTTTATTCTTTGGCCGCCAGGAACCGGAAGTGTCAAAATTGCAAAGATATCTCCATAGTAGATATAAATATATTTTTATTTTAATAGATTCTTCTTCCGTAAATGAACATAGCTAATTCCAATTCGAGTAAAGACCAAGAATGTCCTTGTGGTTGTGAAGACATCCCTAAATAGGGAGTGATTGGATTTTAAATTTATTTGTATTTATTATTAAAATTTATTTTGTTAAAAATATTAAAAAGTAGAAAATTTCTGTAATAAATTTATTTAAAATTTGTGAAATTTATTAAATTTAGTAGTTAATATTAGCGCTGGACCTCCGTTACTGTGGAAATAAAACGCAGAACCTGAATTTGAAAAAAATAATTTTTACGTTTTAAGATAAACTTTTAAATCACCACATTTTCCGCTGACTTTGGATCTCGAATTCCGATGATGTATAAAATAGAATTCACATTTTTTGACATTCTTCATCATATCGCTAGGGAAGATCTCATTAATTTTTTCAGATTTTTACTACCGATTTTATAGAAAAAATTAAAGTTTCTTTTTTCCCTAAGTATAAGGCCGCATAATTTTTGAATAGGTTATATGTATTATAAATTTCATATCAATTTATTCCATTTAACAGAATTAATGAATAAACTACAATTTAAAAAATAAGATTAAAGAAAAACATTTTAGAAATTCATTGTAAAAATATAAATATTTTTAACCAACTCTAATGGTTGTAATAATAAATATACTTAAAATATTTATTTTATTTCATTTGATGATGACCTCCTCCAATTAACAACAGTCCATTTTGACTTGTTTCATCCTTCTCCTCTGAAAATTTATACAGACTAATCTCGACACGGGGGAGATAAGTCTCTCTCTCTCTACAAACTAATCTATCCAGTGTCTCTCCCTATCTTAATTAGGCTCAATTAGGTCCCGAAGGTGAAATCTTATCGAGATTCGACTGAAATTTGGTATAAGGATGGATACATTTAGTATCACGTTTCTTCCCATACGTGCCAAAAAATTATTCCTTTTAACTCTAATGCATATAAAGCTATAATAATACAAGAAGGCTATTACATGGAGGCCTCAAGATTTACAAGAAAAGATTTTGAATCAGTTAAGATTTTGAAAAAAACAGGGACTCAATCAAAATACACTTTAACAGATGCATCCAGGCATAGGACCTTGTTTCCCGTTAGGGCAAGTTGGGATGCTAAATACTAGAGACGTTAAAGAACAAAAGTTTCCAAAATGCAAGAAAAAAAATCGGAATCAAAAAAATCCCAAAAATTGTTTTTCTGTGTCTCTCTCCACCGATACCAACCCATAAATTAATTATCTAACAAAATCAAATTCTTAATAATAATAAAAAGCAAATTACCGTATTTCCTAAAATAGTACTCCCGGGAGTACTATTTTTCAACCCTCCTCCAAAGGGGAGTACTATTTAAGGGGGGAGTGCTAATTCAGGGGGGAGTACTATTTTTCAACCTTCCTCACTGATTTATCTTGTGAAAATTTATTTCAAAATTCTAAATGTCTAAATCAATTAGATTTCTTAATTTGAAAAATGCTGGATCCGTACATAGATTTTCAAAAAAATTCCTTTATAATTCGCAAAAAATATCCAAATTATTATAAAATTGAGCACATGGCAGGACATTTAAACACAAGTGACTTAAAATAAGGATTATTGAGGGATATCAAGAAGTATATATCAGTGGATTTGGAGTGGGGATTTAAGCTATAAGGGGATTTAAACAATTAAGAGTGAAGCATGCTTTGGACTAAGGTGGATATCGAAAATTGATACATCACTTTTGTTCTTCCGATATCCCTTCGAATCTTATGATATCCATATTTGGCGTAATATCAAGGGATCAAATTATGTAAGTTGGAGATCAGTGAGTTGGATATCTGAAAATTCTTGAATTAGAGGTATCGAAATAAAATCGTTGGGTTGAGGAGGATTCATGATTCAATTTTATCTTAATCACGCTTAATCAACAAAAAACTACTAATATGACTCATCCGTCATTATTCCCTCAAATTCCTTTATCCGCCTTTAATCCAATGATATCTTTTAACTCGCCTGATCAATTCAGAACCCCTTTTATCACCCGATATCAATACACTTATATCCCTCAAATCCACTTTTATCCAGCCACTTAATCACAATATACCTATCTCCTTAATCCTCAACAAATTTACGGTTCGATTTCGGTTAACAGGAAGTTTCGGTTCGGGTTTTCGGTTCGGTTTCGGTTAACACAGAATTAATTGAAACCGACAACCATAATTAGAGTAAATGAAATAATTTAATGAGTCTTTTATAATTTTTTCAAATATAGGGGAAAAATATTTTAGGGGGGAGTACTATTTTAGGGGGAGTACTAATTCAGGGGGGAGTACTATTTTTCAACCCTCCTCCAAAGGGGAGTATTATTTAAGGGGGGAGTGCTAATTCAGGGGGGAGTACTATTTTAGGAAATACGGTACCTTTAGTAATCAGAAAAAGAAGTCCCTTGTATATTTTAATTAACACAGCTTCATCAAATTCTGTGTCAATTGCAAAACATGCAATATTAAATGAAGTCAATTTGATTTCTTCATGTTTGGGGTCATTTACCGCTTTAATGGTAAGCGTTTGCACTAAAAAAATATTAAATTATTAATAAGAATCAGCCAAAATTTAAGCAAAATTTGAATCAGAATTTAATTAGGATTTTGAAAATAATACTCAAGGATCTGAATTTTTAAGTAAAATAATGTTCCTTTATCAGCAGGATATCTACCTATATTATTTTACATTTTAAATGATTACTTACTTCTATTATTGCTACGAAATGTTGTAATTGTATTTTTATAAATAGTCAATTTATTTAGTATTAAATAATAACGATGTGCTCTCAACGTAAAATCTTCTAAAGCTTTGTTATAAGCAAAAGTAAAAATCTGTTCGCTAAAATAAAATAAATGTTAGAGCAGCGAAAAACATTGGCGGCATTTTACTTTGGGGAATTATTTTTCACTCCTCAGAAAATTTATCTTAAAATTACAGCTACAAAAAAAATAAAGAAATAAAGAAAGATTAAAAATTTTTTTGAGTAATCCTCAAAAAAATTTTCCCTAATTAACTTGTGTTACTCACACCTTTAATATTACTAATAATTTAACCGCAACAAACCTAACTGTCAAATCGTTTTTAATATAAGCTGATAGTTTAATTCTTAGTTCTGAGGAAGACAATTAAAAATAAAGGAAAAACAAGCATGGGAACGGTTTACAAATATAAATTTTCTCAAAAATTAATAAAAAAAACAAGGTCTGCTTTAGAGAATTAAAGTTAAAATAGGTATTTGACTTACGGATGTATTTTTTCATTATAATAATTCATATTGTTTTCATTATTAATGAGAAAAGACTTTATTAATATGTTTGCTAAAATAAGCAGTTGATAAAACATAAATAAATTCCTTTCTTTTTTCTGTGGTTTTAATAAATAATTTAGATGCAATTCACGACTTTCATAGCTAAATAAATAAATAAAAATATATACAAATAATTAAAAATATTTTTTAATTGATTTAGAGATTTATATGTAATCTTCTTATAATTTTATAATTTATCTGCTGATAAATTAATTGTTATTTTGAAAAATATTTAAAGTAATAAATAGCATTTATCTGTCATAATTAGATGGGAAATGAAATAAAACCACCATGATGAAATCCCAAATCAGAGATTTAATGGTGGACAATTAAAAAAAGTAGCTATTTAATATTTCTATTAAATGGACATGGTTCACTTTATTTATTTTTAAATTAAACCTAAATTTATTTGATAAAATTTCTCTATTCAATAAACTCTCTTTTTTTACTTTTTTAAATTTTTGTATATCTTCATGTCTTCCAAGTATAAAATCTATTTTTTTGTCTTCTTGTACAAAAGATGGTAATTTAGTTTTATATTCACTCAGGATTTTTTGAAAATTGTCAGAAATTAACTTTAAAAAATTTTTTTTAGAAAATTCCTAATTATGTATAAAACTAAGAAAATTAATACATCTATTAAAAATTTTTTTAAAAATCTTAAAAAGAAAATTAATAAAAAAATAAAATTTACTCACAGAATTAATTTTATTAATAAATTTTAAAATATTTTCATTATATTCTTTAAATCCAATCTCCACAGCTATTTTTAATCCTTTTTCTTGAATAATTTTTTCAATTTCTGGGACTGATTCTTTTTCTTGTTCATTTTGATTATTTATTTGAGTAAAAATATACAAATCTTCATCACTAACAGAATTTAAAATTCTTATCAGAAAAGACAACTCGACAAGGGAAAATTTACTAATTGGACTATTTGGATGTTCTTGCACAGGATTTTTGCCTTTTCGATCATCAACTAGTTTTAAGAGAAAAATAATTTTAAAGGTTAAAATAATATTAAACAAAATATATTAACAATCTTAATAGAACAAAATTTTGTTAAGGTCTATTTTTATGTCTGTTAAAGGAGGGGCAGGTTAGATTGTAAACAAAAATTTAGGTATTATCTTTTAAAACGAGGAGTTTATAAATTAATTCTAATATTAAATTTATCATACTTAAAAGATGATATGAAAATATTTATAAGTTAACTATACCTCCAGACAGATTTATATCCATTCCTTTAATTAACCCATAAAGCAAAGTTGAAAGATAAAGGCTTAAAAAACATAGTTTGATGCAGTGAAAGAGCATTTTAATTAAATAAAAAAATAAATAAAAATTAAAATTAAAAATACATATTACCCTCCACAACTCCCCCCCCCCCCTTCCCCTCTCTTCTCCTCAATTTCACAACAATGCCCTTTGCTTTATCCCTCTTGCTTTATCCAATCAATTAATTGATAATAACAACATTAATTTTTATTCTCAATTTTCCTTTTTACCCCTCTTAAATGCTTTATGTAGAGAGGGATTAATTCCGGTCTAACTTTCAATCCGGTCTAATAGAATTGGTCTGAATAATAAAATGCTGTCTGAATAAATAAAATTAAATTTAAAGAAATTATTCGTTTAAATTTATTTAAAAGAATTTAGATATTTAATAATAGATTTAAAAAGTATTTTTAAATATTAATTCCTCAGATGATTTTTTATGTTCGAAATTATTGTCTGACTCTTTATGGGCCATTGAGGCTATAAAAAATGTTTATACTATTGTTGAATTGGTGAAATGTTGTTGAAATGATTATAATAAAAAAATATTCCTTTGAAATTTTCCCGAGTTTTTTTTTCTAATATTTATGACTTTCAAAATATTAAAAATATTTTTAGTTTTGCTTATTAACTTTTCTATATTTAATAAAAATTATTGTAATATATAAATATATTAATAAACTAATTTTTAAATTAAGGTTATGATTTGTTATGTTACAATAATTCAAACGGTAAGGAAATTAATTTTAATTTAGTATAGGTGGATTGATAATCCTAGCAAAATAGTTTTAGTTTATCAGCTTTTTATATTTAATAAACTTAAAAATATTTAGGTAGTTATTTCAGTTCTCACTATATTTTTATTAGAGTTATATTCTGAACCCGTACCCCTACCTCGTTCCCGAACAATTTTTTCAGAATTCTTCCAGATCCGAACCCCGCCACGAAATAGCTCGAAAACCCCGGTACATTCGTAGTACAACCCTAATATTTATTTAGAAAAGTATTCGTAGAGTATCAATTATCTAGCAACTTTAGTTTACCCGTTTATATTTCTTTTAAATAAATATAAAATGTAGCCATTAATCTAAATAAAATTTAAATTATTATTTTAATTTTATTATCGTTAAAGATTAAATACCCTGTTTTGGTGCTTGTTATTTATATCAGCGTGTTATATGTTTGAATTTTATATCTTATAATTTTATTATTCTTAAATTAATCTGACAGATTCTCAATCGGATACAAAGTTTTTAAACTAATAATTTTCGATCATAAATAAATACAGATCTAGACTAAACTTTTTAAATTATTTTTTATTATTCGAAAATTTCATAATTTATTAAATTATATATTTTTATAGTTGTCAACCGTGGGTGCACGATGTTAAAAAAAGCTGATATTTGCCTTGGTAGTGATTACTGCTTATATTGTAAAACAAACTTTTGTAATGAATAATTAATGTAAATGTTCTAACGAAATAATGTTTAATAAATTAAATAAAATCCCCAATAACAATTCAAAAACTAAACAAAATATTTACTAATAAATAAAAAATCATTTCATTAGAAATTAAAACACTAAACAAAAATATTTTAATTATTATCCTAAACATAATATCATATTTAGGGAAAAAAATATATTTCAGTACATGGGTTTCTACCTTTTGTTGGCTACCTAAATACATATCTTTCTCTATTAACAACTATGAAAAGTAAAAGTTGCAATTGCAAGTTGCAAATTAAAAGTTGCAATTTGCATGCAAATAATTTTATTTATTAAAAAATATGTAAAATTTTGCGGATACACAATTCTTATGGATACACAATTTTGAAAATAAAATTTTAAAAAAATTATTAATGTTTTTCAGCGCCGCATCTTTTTACTTAAATATTTTTTGATTTTATACTTTCAATTGCCTTAAATCAAATTTAACATACATCTTTTTTATCGTTAAGAAATTTTGTATTTTCTTTAACCATTGCCATAAAATAATTTATGACAATATTTCATTAAATTCCTTGTTTTTTATGATGCTAAGTAGGGTTTTTCTCAAAGAGTAACTTCAAAGCAGAGGTGGGTCGAAACAGTCAAAGGTGTCGGAAATCGGAAAAGCCGGAAATTGGAACTGGCTCAAAAGTTTGAACTCGGAAATCAAAATTTTTTTTGGAAATCGGAATTCGGAAAGAGAAAAACGCCGGAACTCGGAATTCCGACCCACCTCTGATTCAAATATACCAAACAAACAATAAATATTCATTGAAGGAGTTTATGCAAAAATTTTCTTTAAACAAACTACAAAACAGATGAAAATAGGCAAATATAATAGTGAATTATGAAGTCATTCAAAGCTTTTGTTTTAAAATTGTTTATTTTTAATATATGTTCATCATATTTAATATAAAAAATTTATTTGAAGGATTTAGTAGTCAATGTTTCATATCTATATTTTGCCTTTTCTTATTTTTGTATACGTAGACCCACTAATAGAGAGTTGTGTAAAAATAATGTTTATACTATAGAAGGTTTAAAAATTCTTTTTATTTAAGTTAAAAATAAACAAATTTTTAACCTTTTTATCTCAATGCCAAAAGTAAATTCCCAGAAAAACTGCACCGACAATCCATCCAATCAAAGCTAAAATAAACCAAACTCCTACAATAAAACCTCCACATTCGACCCAAACAAACTCGACAATATCACGCTTCTTTCGAATTTTATTTTCGTTTTTTAAATTATCAAAACATCCATTCTTTGTTAAATAAAAGATTGAATTCTTTTTATCATCTTTATGGAAACTAATTGGAAAAGAAATGTTTGGACAGCTATCTCCGTTGTTTATAAATTCATTGAAGCGACATTCTTTATTTAAAAAAAGGAATATTAAATTAGGGTTGTTGGCTATCGTTACCCTCGATTTTCTATTTATCCCGGCTCTCATTTTTTAGCCGACTTTTAGTCGTCACAAGCTAAATCTCGGACAGATGCAACGTATAAAGTTTGAAAATGATAAGCTTACTTTAGCGAGAATAGAATATGAAAAGATCGAGATAAAGTAATTAAAATCTGTCATAGCGTACTGAGTAAAATAAAAACTAGTGTTGGTCAAACGCGATTTTTCGGTATCGGTATCGGTATTTTCGGTAAAATATCGATACCGAAAAAATACCGATTTTTTAAAAATTGTTCGGTACCGTATTCGGTATCGGTATTTCGGTAAAAATACCGCGGTATTACCGAAAAATACCGCCGTAATACGGTACCGTGGCCAACTCTAATAAAAACTAACCTTTCTGATTATCCTTTATCCCCCGACGATAACGAGTCTGTTGGCCATAACGGGAAACATAATTATCATATCGAACAGGATCGCTAGGTTGATATCCTAATTCCAATAATTCATTTGGATCAGTAACAATATTTCCAGTATGAGGATTTCTGATAGGTTGTTGTTGGGGAGGAGGAGGATTTTGATTTGTTCTTCGTAAAAATTCTGGTAGACGCATTTCAGGCAAATTAATTTCTGATAAATGAATAAATGGCACAGGACATTTAATTTCGTCGAAAATCATCGCAACTAAGATAGTTGATCCGAATATGCCAACAAAACCGCCAAATCCAAGATATACAAAGATAAAAAACACCACCTTATCAGCCATATTATAATCTCTAATATCTTTGTAATAATGTCGTTTTTTTCGAATTAATTGAATTGAATTAGAAATTGAAGTGTTCTAAAAATGAACAAAAATTTGATTAAGAATTTTTATTTAAAACGTTAAAATCCTTAATTAATTAAAATAAAAATACTTCTCCCCCAAAACATTTTTTTATATTTAACCAATCAACAACAACATTTTTTTCTTCATCATTTCCAAAATTATTTTTAAATGATTTAAAAAACATTCCATTTAAATTAATTTCTTCAAAAAATTTTAAAAAATAATTTTTATTTTCCTCAACAATTTTCCCTTCTTTTTTCATTTCACTCAACATTTCCTCTTCATTATCATTTCCCAAAATTTTAACAAAAATTTCAATTTCTTCAAATAAATTTCCAAAATCTTTTCTAATTTTAATCCAAGTTTTTTCCTCTTTTAAATCGTTTTTTCGGAAATTATTTAATAAATTCCCCATTTTTTCTGTCAAATTTTTTCCATAAATTTTTTGATAATAAAAGAGAGGAATAAACAAATTCTCTAAAAGAGTTTTTCTCAAAACAAAAGAATTAATTATTTCCATAATTAAATTTATTTTTTTATAAATTTGACCAAATATTTTATTTTTACTATTTAATGCTTTCTTTCCAATCCAATTAATTGGACTTGTTAAATAATTAAATATTTTCTCGATTAAACGTTTCCCTACTCCTCCTCCTCCATTCCCTCCAAAAAGTTGGATTGCTCTAAAATTGATATATTCTGGCTTGAAATGCTCATCTGAATCTCTACTCACTGAAAAATGACAAAAAGTTTGTGTGATATTATATGTCAAAAATCTATTTACACTAACCAGGAATGCTATACCACGTTTACCCGGATATCTTTTAGCTATATTCGCAGAATATCTGCAATATCCATACATACATATTAGCTATGCATTATGACTTCGAGGTCTCCCTGACTCTGACAATATTACCATTCTGTTGAGGAATCTCCGTCTAACTTGTTTATTTGTCAAATTCTGAGCTCCACAACATCTATCTCGAGATGGAGTCTGCAAGCTCGGGAAGCTTGTCTTTTCAATCATCGAATCCTAACAAGCGTGATCCTAACCTTTTGGGTGTGCTTATTAACTTTTGTAAATCTCGGACAAGCCCCAAACATAATGAGTGTTTCACTCAATTATTTTAATCAACTCAAAATTTAAAAAAATATTCACATTTAAAGTCCAAATCCAACATTAATTTACTCATTTCTTTTTCCAAATTTAATTTAAACTCATTTTTGTTATAACCAATTTTTTCCAAAATCATTAAATTACACATTTCATTAACAAATAATTTATTCATTAAATTCTCTATCAAAACAAAATTTCCTTCAATTAATTTTATTTTTTTAATTTCTTCTTCAGAAATATCCAATTTAATTAAATTTCCATTTTTTAAAATTTCTGAAATATTTTCTTCTTCTTCCACCATTACTATTTGTTTTAATGTCAAAGCTAAAGCAAAATATTTTGCTTGAACAAAATTTGAAAAAAATTTCGAAATATTCTGCTGGAATATTTCTTCTCCTTTTGTTGATTTTTTAAACAAATTTTCATAAGTGAATCCTTCATTTTTCTTCAACCTTTTTTAATTTAAAAATAATTAAAAGTTTATCAAAAACATTATTACCCATTATGTTGGTAGGTATCAGGGCTGGACTAATTTCGCATTTCGCTTTTTATTTTTAAAGAATTTTTAGTAAGGGAATTGAAATTTCCCTTTTTACCTTGATTAAGGTAAAATAATTAGTATACCGTAAATCTTATAATAGAAAACACCTTCTAATAGAACCACACCCTCTAATATAAACACACACTACGAGAGGATCGGAAAATAAAAACACACTCTCTAATAGAAGCACACCTTCAAGTCACACACATCATCATTTTTATTATTTACCTCGACATTTGAAAAATGCCGGACACTTGTGAACTAACATAAGGGTAGTTGAGGATGTTTAATTTATTTAATTTTAAACTATTAATTAATTACTTGTTAAATATTAGATAAAATTTCCCTTCACTTTTCTCATTTATATTTTCAATTAAATGTAAAAGAATTGAATAACCGTTGACATTACTTTTTTTAATTTGATTAAATATTCCTTCCCAACTAATTTTAATTTTATTTTCAACTATTTGGACGTTAATTTTATTTTCATTTTTTGTTAAAATATTTGTAAACATTTCAACGATTTTTCCATAATTTTGAATGAATTGATTGTAGGCAATTAAAAGGGGAGTATTTTCTGTGTAAATTTTATAAAAATTAATTGAGGTTTTGTTGAATTGACGGAGTTTTATTAAAATTTTTAAACCCCCGAATCCTTCTAAGTTAAAGATAGGGTTCGGTCCCCGTTCTCCGGGGCAGGGAATTCCTCGGGGAACCTGGGGAGGTCCCGTCTCCACCCCGTTCCCCGAACACAATTAAAGATATTTAGTTAGTATGAGGGTATAGGGCTTTTTATAGGTTCGATTCCGCGATTTTAAAATTTTTTGCTGGTCTCCGACTATTTCAAAATACTGTCTCCTCATTCGGAGCTGGTTATTTACGGAGCCACCCCATGTCCACTCACAAATCCATTCAAGTAATCAACATAAAAATAAATATTTACCTAAATTCAACAAAAGTTTCAGTGAGTATTTAAATATTTTATCATTCCACCCAGTAAGATTAAAATTAGTTTTGTTAATTGTTTCAACAAGTTTATTTTTTTCTTCGGGTTTCATTTTATCAGTTACATTTTCTCCAACAAAATTAGATAAAATTAAAATTTTAATTAATTTATCTGTAACCATTCTTTTATCGTTATTGGAGGAGGATTTTTCTTCTATTTTCTCTAAAAAACACTTTAAACGAAAAATAAAAAAATCGTTTTGTTTGTTTTTATTTTCCACCATTTCAATGTAGTCGTTGAGGTTTGGAGGAGGATTGTCTGTACATTTATTATACAGAAAATTCTTCGTTGAATTATAGATCCATTCGACAAATTTGGGCTAAAAAGAGAAAATGTTTTAGACTTAATATCTCTAAAATAAAGTAAGGAGAAGTATGGTATAAAAAGATATGCCGGAGTCGGATTTTGGATTTGGAACTAGTTGCGGACTGGATTTTTCTGTATCAATATGGTCTGGAAATTATTCGGAGATTGTGAAAGACTCCTGGTATTTGGAGTGAGTATGGGGAGATAGTGGGTAGAGAGGAATGATCTGAAGGTCAAAAGCTCCTGAAAAGCTTGAGGCACTACATATGTATTTATTTTGTACCTTTTCAAATAGAGGCTTTTCAACACAATTCATGTCCAAACGCCAATTTAAAAAATGTTTGAGTTTCTCAGCGTCAAATTCTTTTTGATTTTTTGAAAATTTGTTAAAGTCAACTTTAACTGTTTCAAAGTTTAAGAATTTAATTTCTTTAAAATTCGGATAAAGCACAGCCATTAACTTTAAAGACAATTTCAATTCCTCCAACTTTTGTGTACTAACAATCTCCAAAAAAGAATGTGTATCATATTCTTTTAATGTTTTGTACATTAATGTTGCAATATACAAAGGTTTAGTAAGCAAAAAAGATCGAAGAAGATTTTTATAATTTTCTGAACCTTCATTCAATTGGAAAATTCCTTTAAATTCTGGTTGTTTATTTAAATTGTTTTTGTCTGAAATTTGTTTTTTATGTTTATTTTTAGTTTTTGTTTGAATGAAAAATCCATCAACACATTCAATATAAAACCATAAATGACTTTTAGCTTCATCTATCGCTTCTTTCTTTGTTTTGCTATTAAGAACCATCTAAATTTTAATTAAAATTCTTTAGAAACTCGATATATATTTCTATGAAATTTTCAATAAAATTTAGTGGGCGACTATTTTCTATGTATTTATCAACAAAATAAATATTAGCCTTATTCATATCTATTTTAATCTTTTTGAATTTTTAATTTATTCAATTTCAAATGTCCCAACATTTTTCCAAACTTGTTACCCTATATTTCGGAATTACTCGTTGACTGATACGGGATTATATCCCGCAACGGAATTCGAAGGTTTTCTTGCAGGGTCCTTTCAACATCTTTTTTAAATCCTAAAATGCAATTATGTATATTGGTCTCTACTTTGATACATTTGTAACCAAATAATTCAACACTGGAATAACCCCAAAGTTTATTGGTTTTAAATATTCTAAACGGCCTTCAATCTACTTTCAACGAGGAATACAATCTTAATTAATATTCGAGTAAAAACATGCCGTAAAAAACATGCCTCTAAAAACATTTTTAGAGGCATTCAGCTTTTATTTTAATTCTATATAATTTTCAATGCATAAAATCTCAAATATCCTAAATTTCTTTCAATCGTGTTACCCAATTATTTAGTAATCAGTATTTGTATTAGTGACAGGGCGCAACGGAATTTGAAGGTTTTCTTGTAGGGTCACTTAAAGAATTTTTTAAAAATCTCCCTGATTATCCTAAAATGCCATTATGTATATCAGTCTCTACTTTTATGTATACATTTGTACCCAAATACTAATTCAACTCTGGAATGACCCAAGAATTTATTAAATATTCTAAACGGCCTTCAATCTACTTTCAACGAGGAATACAATCTTAATTAATATTCGAGTAAAAACATGCCGTAATTGGATCATTAATTTCCGGTCTAACTATTCCTTTAGAATTTATACAGAAAGCAAAAATTCCTTTAAATCGGGCCAAATCATCAAAATTAGCCATTTCATTCAGAAATGTATTGACACATTTTTCTGGGTCAAAACAATTTTTGGCATTGTTTAGAGTTGAAGTAATTTGTTGAATTATATTTTCATCTATTGCCTCAATGTTGGAAGAAATGTCTTCTTCGATAGAGCAAAATACTTGTTTAGAGTAAATTAACAAAATTAATTTTAAAACAAATAGTTTTAACATTCCTTTGACTTTTTAAAATTTAATGAAATTTAACAATAAATTGATGTAGGGTTGTCTAATTCTAAGTCTGTTTTATAGATGCACTTTCGTCCCCTTCCTTCATTTTATCCTCCCCCTTCCGCTAAAAATTAATAACCTTTGTAATTACACAGGATATTAATTTAGAAAGAATATTACATAATAATGCCCTTTTAAATCGTAAAAAAATTTTTATAATAAATAATTTTATTAAAAAATTATTTAAAAAATATTATTAAAATTGATGTTAAAATAAATCGACAATGTGAAAATTATAGTTTTCAAAAGTTGAACTGTGATTTATTCAAAATTCCCCGACTTTTGGGGAAAGACAGCTCTAAAAAACGCTGGTAACAGCCTTTTTTAACAGCTCTAAAAAAGGCTGTTACCAGCGGCGCTGAAATAATGTAATAAAATTTTTATTAAAAGTAAGATATGCGCGGATATTTTTTTGTTTTTCAACAATAAATAATCAAACTAAAATTATATGTATGTATATCCTCAATTTAAATGGCGAGGAGGAACGAATAAAACATTTGCATTGATAATTACAACATTATTTTCCGACTGAGCTATCGAGACTTGAATATGTATATCACATCTCATCAATCTTCCGCTAAACATTTAAAGTCCTTCTTTAAACGTTCGTCAAGTCATTCCCAACAGTCATCGACTTATAACATGATTTAAAATAGGTAAGTATATCATATTCCCTAGCCCTTTATTGACGGGAAGACACACATGGTTCCGTGTAAGCACGATTCCGTGCACACGTTTCCGTGCCAGTTATAAAGGGCACGTTTCCGTGTCCGTTATAAAAAACACGTTTCCGTGCTCAATTACCCTTTGAATTACCTTTATGCGAATTTGAGGTGACAGCTTTGAGGTGTCAGCTTTTTTATCAACTTTTTTTATCAGCTCCATTCACAA